GGGGCAACGATGAGTGGATCATCGCTTAGTCGTAATAGATTATAAAATATATCTGCCAATTTCAACTAAAATAGTGAATTGAATAGTGTTTACAGTATTTATGTCAAGACGCTTGGAAATACACGCTAAAAGTATTTGATATATTTGATCGATTTGATAGATTTGATCATAACTCCACATCATATTGCGCATTTAAAAAAAAAATACTTTTACAGAATATTCTATATATAGAGAAATAAAAAGCAGCAAAAAATATATTTTTTGACAAAGATGAAAGATTCCTTAATATATTTTACAAGAATCTCTATTATAAATTTTCTTGCTTTTAAGAGAACACATTATAATTCAAACCAAGATAACTATAGTAACTTGATATTTCAAATTTTTAATTTAATGTATATAGATTGAGAATATGTTCAAACACCAGAAAGTAATGCAGGAAATGCTCAATAGATAAAATCTTTTTGTAATAAGTTTTTATTTTTTTATTTTATATATAATTATATATAATTTTATATAAATTCAAGATAAATATTTATGTATCACCAATCATACGTTATTAGTTTTAATGGACTTGCAATGTAACGGCTCAAAACTAAATTTTGAGTCGCCACAACGCTAAATTTTTCTTTTAATAAATTGATAATCAAATATATCAGTTATTTTTTTCCCCCATAAAAAATTCTTATTGAGAAAAACGATCACCTCAGTCAGGATTCAAAGAAATCTCACAAATATTCATGATGAGTGTCTTTATCAATTCAATTGCTGAGGGATAATATTTAACACAATAATTAGATATATATAGATATTATATATATTATATATATTATATATAGATATTATATAGATAAGAACGTTCATTCTTCAGTCATTCTTCAGTCGTATAAAGAACGATAAGAACGTTCATTCTTCAGTCATTCTTCAATCGTATAAAAAAAAACAATTCTCGATAAATTGTCCTCGACAAGTTGTATTAAAAAAAAAACTCACGTAGGACAGGAAGAAACTGTAATAGTGCACGTAGGACAGGAAGAAACTGTAATAGTGCAGTGTCTCAAATATAATGTCTCAATGCAACTTAATCAATAATACGCAGCTTTCATTATGTATAGTCCATTATTCTCAAACATTGTTCTTAATTCAATCTTTTTCATTTTTGATAAAATTTAATTTGAATAAATATTTGAAACGTCCCTGAGTTTCCCATTATTACCGATTATAGCCGATTTAATATTAAGAAATTTGGAAAAGAGGACTCTTGAAAATATTGTGTATCATTTTTTCACAAATACGTCGATGACATTGCAATGGCTATTCCTTCCACAACATGACTAATAAAGTTCTTGAAAAGTTTATCTCTTACTCCCCTAAATTACAATTTACCATTAAGATTGAGGGAAATGAATTAAATTTTTTATTTAATCAAAAGAATTGTTATTAACGTTATAGAATTTAACTAATTTCGTAAGTCTATATTCTCGGGAAGAGAATCTTAACTTTTACTCTCAACATTTTGTTCAAAAAAGAGGTACTATTGCTGAACTCTAGATATAACTATAGATATAACATTCTTATTATCTCAACTAAAATACAAAAAAAAAACTTAAATTTAGATCATCACCTTGTCAATGAATGATTTTCTCAACTTTATTTTTGATAATATTCATTAAGATTAAAACTTCTCATTAAATCAGATGACATATCAACAATTTCAAATACTTTCATTGGATACTTTCACGAAAAACAAAATCGTTTACATTATTTTGAAAACATCTTTTATTTCGAAAACATTTATCAAATTCAAAAAGAATTTCAACGCTAAACTTGCATTTTTTAGTATAAATAAGTTGATAGGTTCGATCAGAGTTCATAAGGATGTTCTCCTAGTATATTCTGAAAAAATGTATTAGGAGTGTCTCCGGTGTCAAGTCAACCGAATACTACCGTGTTTTACGCGATTTTACGCGAGTTGGCGAGATGAGAGTACCTGAAATTATCGGATCTCAATAACCGATCAAATTCTAAGTAGGCTCGATCAGTAGCTTGAGTTCAACTTGCATGTAAGTATTTTTATTTTTCTGCTACGTGCCCTACGAGCGAAGATATTGCTACGCAAAGTCCGATTTGGAAATTTTTACTTTAAGAAACATACAACTAGATCTAGTGATCTGGTAATTTCTGATAGCTAAGCAGTATACTATTATTTCAAGATTTATTTTACACTTTTACGTGATTTATTAGATAGATAGCTTACTTTCTGGTATTTTTTACAAGTTTTAAGAATACGAAAATATCATGCTTTTAAGGGAAAAATACAAGACAAAGCTATATGACGCAAGAAACTTTTTACATGTCATTTCGCGCCTCTGACGTCATTGAATATGGCTGTATAGAGACAATCGAGTTTTAAAAAAAAAATTTTATATCAAATCTTTTATACTAATAAATATATAATTTGGCTAAGATGGACTTAATGTTTATAAGACTATAACCAGTTATTGATATCAAATCTTTTATACAAATAATGACGACGTTCTTAAAGTAAAATTTACGAATCGGACTTTGTGTAGCAATATCTCTGCTCGTAGGGCACGTATGCTGCTTTATTTGATTTTTTTTTACCTTTTTTTTAAAATTAAATTAACTTAATTTTGTAATGTTGTAATTTGTAATGTTGTAATTTACAGGCTGTAACAATTGCGATGTGTACTATGTTGAACAAACTATGAAATAATTAAAAAGGGATTAAATAATATATTTTGAGATTAAATAATATAAATTTGCCTAGAATAACATTAAAGTTTTGGATGTGAACATAATCTACGGAAGTAATTGATTTCTGAATGCTTCTCATTAAGAGGCAGAATAATAGCTTAAATTTAATAGTCTGATATTGAATATTTACATCACACATATATTTTCATCTTGAGCAAATTATATTGGTTTTGTTTTGTTTCTTGTCAATTTTAAAAATCATCATTGCTCTCAATTATTGCCTTAACCTGGAAATGCAACAGACTCTTATTATAGTATATTATTGTAACAATATCTATATTGCTCTACTATTTTTTCTTAATATAATCCGTGTCCATCTGGTGAATGACAATCATTTTATAATTCTTTTTTTTTTATTTCGTACCGACGATTTAAATGTTAAACCATCTCACATTGAAAATTTATTTAATAATTAATCATTTCGTTTAATCAATCGACGTGAATGACATATCATTATTTTTTATGGGCGGACTCTGATTGGACTCAGGGATATCTTTACTATTTTTATATCACTAAATATGACTCAAATTCGAATTGAAATTTTTGGCACTTTCTATTACTTTCTATTACTTTCTATTACTAAATATAATTAAGATTAAATGTATAATTGCCCACTGTTTACAGCGTTGATTTTCAGCCTTATTATTTTTCATTATTAAAAAAAAGATTATTAATCCTTAACTAAGCGCACCACGGTACTAAGTGCTGCAAAATTCGTTTTTCTGAAAAATCATCGATAATGCAGATCTTTTTTCTATTACCAACTTTCTGTATTCCTCATTAACATCTCAACCATAAGACAGTGCAACTGCCGCATTTTTCCTGTTAAGTAGTTAGTCTTTTATCCATTTTAAAATTAGTAAGACACATTTTGTGGCATGGAGTGTCGCGCGTGCCTCAGGACGTAAGTAAAATCTTGCTTATATAAATAATTATAATAATGCGAGATGTTGAATCATTTTAATTTATTTTTACTCGCATTAATGTTTAATATCTTTTTAGGTTAGAGTTAGATTATGTTTTAAAAAGCTCAAATAATACGAATTTTGAAATAATTTTAGAAACATCCTGGATCCAAATTCTATCCTAAGTTTCCTATCATAAGTCTCAAAAATATCCTAAATCGAGAGGTATTCTGTAAATACTTGGAAAGATGGAGAAAGATAACATAGAACAAGAAAAAATAGTTGATTTTAGTTGATTTAGTTTTATTTTATTTTAGTTGATTTTAATATTATTTTAACATATTTTATTTTATATCATTATGTTATAAGAATATTATTTTTCTATGTTTGATTTTAAATTGATGTCTTTATTTTTAAAACAATTATTTTATTTTTAATTCTTTAGTTACATCTTTTATTTTTATAAGAAAGTAGACATAAAAATTTTAATATTATAGTTAAAATTTAATATTATATTTGATTATAAATATACTTTATTTGTTTTTATCCAATGACAATTGACAATTATCCAATTATTTATCTAATTATTATAACTCCAAATAATAAATTTGTGATGCAACACTCAGTGCCGCACGTGCCCATTAACATTCGGCCGGGAAATGCGCGGGCGAGGATTAAATCTAAAATCCTGCTTGCCAAGTATTACCTGTATTAGTTTCTATTATTTTAAATTTTATTAAACTGAGTAATATGACTTCTAGTATATAGTAAATAATAATCTAGTAAATAATATGACAATAGCAATTGGATAAAACAAACGAGAATTTTTTTATTTCTATAAATAAAAATCTAGAAATTTTAAATATAATATGTCTCGAAATAATATGTCATAACATAAATCATATAATTGATCTTTTTTTGCTAATCTACTAATCAATTAAGAAATTCTATTGTAAAATAAAAATTTTTTTAAATTCAAATATCAAATATTTCTGTACTCATCCATGTCTTTTTATTATTTTTTAGAACATAAAATATAGTTTTTTAAAATCCATTTACTTCTGAAATATTTTATACATAAAACAAGAGAATTGAACTTAAATCAATTTTTGACAGATTTACCAAGTTCTAGCACTTCAAAATAAAAGATTAATGGCATATTTTGTCAACTAATATGCTATAACGAATACTTTTAAATTCTTATATTAAAACATAGAATATATCTATAAACATATTTGTTAGATTATATATACATACACATATATATATATATATATATATATATATATCTATATAAATTGAAATGATAAAGATAACCTCAATGACTCCTTGTTTCTTCAGCATCTCGTAAGCTTCTTTAATTTTTGATTCGCGTGGATATTCTGTGATCCATGCATAAAGAAGTTGCAGAACTTTTTGCCGTACGTTTGCTGTAGTGCGATTACCTAAATATTTCGGTGAGACCAATTTTATCATCTCATTGAGGAAACGGAATTTACCAATTTCCGCATGAAATAATGGGCCACATCTCTTCATACAAGTATCTAGTAACTAGAAGAAATAAAAATCTATATATTCAATTCATTTATGTGTAAAATTTAAAATTCTTAAAATCTTGTTCTAATTAAAATATTATTTTTATTATCTCATTGAGGAATCTACCCATGCTAACAAGATTTAAAATAAATTTAAGATTAAACAAAAAATAACTACTGTATAGAATTAATTTCTATTTTAAGAATATATATAAATATATAAGATATATATATAAATATATATAAATATAAGAATAAATATCTAAATTACAAATTTGCCAATTATTAAAAAAATTAAAGAAAGACATAGATTGTGGAACAATTCCTGTAAAACTTCCTTGTTGTGATAAGATCAGATGGATGGAAGATATTCAAAGAAAGAAATAGTCTGAGATCAAAAAATAAAATATTTTTGGAAATAAATATAACAGCTAAGATGTAGAATTTTTCTTTTTGGTGGAAAATTGTGAAAAGATGATTTGAAAAAAAAACTTTTGAATTAGAAATCAAAATTTAAAGATGTATTTTAAACAAATAAATTAATATATAAAAAAATCCTATGCTACATCATAATCTTCTTAAGAATATTCGTACTAAATTTGAAGTCAGTTAGACTATTAATTTCAAAGAAATATTGCCATTCGAGTTGAAAAACATGATTTCGAGAAAAATATAAAAGAAAAAAGGCAACGATTTTTATGTAATAAAATAGAAATGTTTTTCTATTCTTATTTCTTATTTCTGCTCTTTTCTTAAGACAAATTAAAAAAAAAATACAAAAATTAATTTTTTGACATTTTCAGAATGGGTAGACCTTTTAAATTTTAAAATATACAATAACTTACTTACACTAGTTATGAAACTAGTTTTAAATAAATAGCATAATATTAAATAAAATAAATAAAGTTTAAATTTATCAATATACCTATATAATGAGTAATAAAGTCTAAGTATACTTGTGTGTGTGTGTGTGTGTATATGCGTGCGTAATAATATATTAAAAACAAATTTGTAAAACATTTGAAGACAACGTACCGAAAGTGCTTGTAATGCTTCTGATTCATTAAGCGATTGAATTTGTGTCACCAATAACTTAATACCTATTTGTATACCCTCTGTTTCTTTAGTCAGCATCACACAGAATGCTTCAATGGCCGCTATGTCTGGCTTCTGATTTTGTGGATTTGTAATCCTTTCTGTAATATTTTATATATATTTACATACATAAATACATACATAAATATATTATATTATAAATGAGTTTCCCTTTTTTTCAAAATAAAAGAGATATGGAATAATAAATACAAGAATAAATTAAATTAAATGATTTAAACTAAATTTTATTTTATTTTAATAAAATTTAGTTTAAATCATTTAAATATCACTCAAACAACCTGATTATCTAATTGATTGAAAAGTCAAAATTATTATTATTTATTATAAACAGGATTTTAATATATTAAAATTACTATTAATTATTATTAATATATATATAATTTACTTTGTTTTGAAATCATAGATTATAAATGTTTTCCTATCATTCTTCATAATGGATTTATAAGACTTTCTTTCTTTTTTTTTAACCCAAACTTCAATTATATCTATTATATCTATTTTATTCATTATAAATGTAAACTAATTCAACTATAAAAAACAAATCTACATCTTTAAAAAGCAACAGGATACAAGTAATGCAAATCATTATATTTATATATT